TTCCTCACTATTAAATTGGTGGAAAAATTTACAACACCCGTCAAATTCATTGACGACAAATTAAAGGTTTCCTCGCTAAAATTTTTGTTTTACGAGGAACTGTTTCCTCGTTAAAAAAAGCAATTAGCGAGGAAATAATAGTTTCCTCATTATTAGTTTGGTGAAAAAATGTGCAAAACCCGCCAATTTCAATAGCAACAAATTTAAGGCTTCCTCGCTAAAAGTATTTGTTTTACGAGGAACCGTTTTGTCGTAAAAAAGAACCTATTAGTGAGAAAATTAAAGTTTCCTCATTATTAATTTGGCAGAAAAATGTGCAACACCCGCCAAATTCATTGACGATAAATTGAAGGTTTCCTTACTAAATTTTTTTGTTTTACGAGGAACCCTTTTCTCGTTAAAAGAATCAATTAGCGAGGAAATAATAGTTTCCTCATTATTAGTTTGGCGGAAAAATATGCAAAGCCCGCCAAATTCAATGGCGACAAATTTAAGTCTTCCTTGCTAAAAGATTTTGTTTTGTGAGAAATCATTTCCTTGTTAAAAAACCAATCAGCGAGGAAATAATAATATCCTCATTATTCGTTGGCGAAAATTTTGGTGGGAATTTGGGTAAAAAGTAGGCGGGTACTCAAAGAAAAGAGTGGACCTCTAATATCAATGGCCTAACAAATATCCATATACAAGTCAACAACCGTGGGCCAATTTAGATTTATTTTTGAATAAATGTCTAGCACGAGGTAAAGCTCCAATATGGACATAAATAAGAATTTGGTTTGTTTGGTTGATGGTTCCTTTTTGTAGGTTTTTGCACAATTCACATGAAGATTAACAACCAATTAATATTTATTCAGGTTCAAAGAGATCCCAATGATAAAGGATTACTCACAAATCTGATAAGATTTAAACAATTTGCAATTTTTGAATATACATTTACTTCAAACTTCTAAAATTAGATTATGTTAATAGATAATATTGACTTCGGAAAATAGATTAAACCAAACGTGCAATGAACTCTCTTATTCGTATTTGGCATAATGTTTAAGGTATATGGTGACCATGCTTCGATATCAATGGAGAATCGTGTGTGTGTGTGTGTGTGTGTGTTAAACTATTTGTGATTTTTGAATATACACTGATTTCAGACTTCTGAAAACAGATTATGTTAATATATATAATATTGACTTCTAAAAATAGATTAAACCAAACATGCAATCACTACCCACTACCACAAAATAGGTCTACGAGGACGGTTCGTTGGGGACGGTTTAAAACTGTCCCCTTAGCTGTCTAAGGAAACGGTTTTGTGACTGTTCCACCCGTCACAATAGAGTCTAAAACAACGCTTTAAAATAAAGCGTTGGGCTTGAATTAGTTTTGTGAATAAATTGTGTAATGGGCTAAAGGGACGGTCCCCAAATTTTTATTTTTGATTTTGAGAACGAGCGCCACACTTTCCCCCCATCAAAACAAATCACCGCGTCTCTAGGGTTTTCTTGTGTCGATCTCTTTTTTGTCCGCCAGCTCTCCTCGACGGAACAAAGCCCACCGCCTCTCCTTCACTCATGCTCATCCTCGATGATCTCCACCTCGCGTTTCCCTCCTCCCCTTGGCTCCTTCACTTCCCCTCATTCGACACCTCCGCTTGTTCGCCAACCATCCCAACATCGTCAGCCACCTCTCCTCAATTCGTCGTTGTCCACTGCCACCCCTCATGTCCGTCTTCGAGGATCGCTGCCGAGACCTCCACACGCCCAGTCACATGGGGATGGACCCTTGGTATTAAGACGAAGCCCCTTGCTGGTGTGATGATTGGGGGGATCGAACTATGGCCACTATCGGACTCAAAAAGGAGTTAAAATTGAGCAGGCTAACCAGGTTTCCCTTGTCAGCAAAAAAAGAGAGGATATTGGCGATGGAGTATTGGTGACGAATATCGAATCCGTCACCGATACAAATATTGGCGACATGAAATGACCAATGAAAATATGATGAGAAAAGTAAAGATGATGAGAAAATTGTGAGAGATCAATGAGGAGATCATTTTTAGTTATACGTATTACGAACATGTAACCATATTGATCTTGCTAATGATATACCAGAACTTATCATAGCCCTTTTCAATTAATTAGGAATTCTATGTTATTTTTAAATTTTTTATTCTTTATGCTAGTTGATTCGATGACCTCCACTATGCTTGGCTTTATTTACGGATAAACTTGAGCTTGCAAACATCATTAATAATTTTGAGAAGAGCTTGATGAGATTTAATAACTAAAGAAATGGATGAAAATAGTTTGAATAGATTTAATCACTAATGTCAATTGTTCTTAATTATTTATTTTTATTAATTACTCATACCCTAAAATGTCAATTTTAATATGTATACCTCGCAAATCCGACTTGATATCCGTAATGTAGGAGATTGAATACAAAATTTGACTTGATATCCATAATGTAGGAGATTGAATACAAAATTTCCCCCCTTTTTGTATTCCTCAGACACGCTCAAATTTTCCAAAACCCTCCCTTTCAAAATTTGTCAAGTCCTGAGCGGGCTCCCAAATTTTCCAAACCCAGCTTCTAAAATTTTTCCCCCTTTTGTTTTCCTCAGACACGCTCAAATTTTCCAAAACCCTCCCTTTCAAAATTTCTCAAGTCCTGAGCCGCTGTCCTCTACTTCATCTTTGGCTTTCTCCTCGTCCACCTCGTTCGCCGCAAAATGAATCTTCAACTATGGCAGTCGGCGTCTCCCGCCTAATCACGGCCGTGATGGCACCGAGGCCCCTTCATATGACTGCCACGTTTCCGAATCTGATGTCATCTCTCTGCGAGAAACAGAAGAAGGGGTGGTGACGTCTTTGCTCAACATTCAGATTCATACTCTCTCTCTCCACCACCGCTGCTGTCGGTGGGTACACCTCCATCTTACCCTGATGATATAATTTATGCGAAAACCCCCTCTCATATCTTTTATTTGTGCCGTTGATTTTCACAGAAGCAAAATTAATTGCGAGAGATGAAGCTGGTACCTAGAGAAGTCGGGAAATTGGCCCTTCATCAGGTAGGATTCCTCGCTCAGAAGCAATTGGCTAGCAGACTTCACCTCAATTATGTCGAGGCTGCAGCGTTGATTGCGACTCGGGTACTTTCTCTTCTCTATTGTTGATGATGCTTTTGCTTCTTGTTTTTGCCCACCATGTGTTTGTAAATATTCCTCTATGACAAAAACACCAAGAAGTTTGGAAGATCTCAGTGTTATTCAATCTTCCCAGCGTTGATTCCTGACACTATTTGATTTTACGCGGCTAAAAGGTGCATGCTGTATCATTTCCATATATAAACGATCCCTCAGATCTCAGTGTCATTCAATCTGCATATGTGAAGTGTACCTAGTTAGTCTAAGTTTGGTCAGTTTCTAACAATCCATTCTTTGAGACTCGATAACGCATGTTATGATGCTCTGGTACTAGTAGTAAGGCCACACAGTTGAGCATTCATGTTAACACACAGAAAATGGGTAATAAAAATCTCCATGCTTTTTTTACAAGGAAAAAACAGAACAACATTGTCTTTTTGGAAAGTTTCCATCATTTAGGTGTGCAGTGACCTCTTGTTTTGGAAATTTGTAAAGTAAACATTTTTATATTTTCTTAATTTATTTCCAAAATTGTTTTAGGATTTCAACAATTGGATTTACTATGAACAATTGAGACTTAGAAACTTTCTTACATTAAACTAGCTTCCTATGATTTTTAACCAATAGTCTTAGGAGTTCAATTACTAGGTTTTGTTGTTATCAGTGTCTTTTGTACAGCAAAAGTTCTTATGCCATAAAATCTATAACATAAATGGTACAATCAAGCATTTTGTCTGCTATCTTCTTTAAATTATGCTCGTACCCCAGGAACAGAGTTGTCAAATATAAGTCAGTGATCTATCATGGGATTAAATAAAGTAAATAGGAACATATGACAAAGACATTACTTTGAGTAAATCATTTAAACTTGTCTCTGGTCTAAAGCATGTTTATCAATCACCAGAGGCATTAGTATGATAACTTTGAACAGAATTATAGCTTCTTAGGACTGGTAGGGAGATAGATCCTCATCTTTCACTCAAATTATATTTATAATGTCTTATAATTATATTAATTTTGGTGCAGATGGTCCGTCGCATTGCTTTGAGGATGTTAAGTGTGAAGTGAAAATATTGCAAGACCTAAAAGGACATGAGAATATTGTTCATTTCCATAATGCATTTGAAGATGATGATGATGTGTATATTGCGATGGAGTAAGTTGACATTGAACCTCCTGTCAATCTTTATACTACAAGAATTTGAACTTGCAGCTATTTTCAGAACTTATGTATATAGCTGACAAGTTATTTTTAAGTTTTGAGTATACACCCTCTGTCTAAATTAATATCAATCTTGGACGTATGTTCTTTATTGTAATTCAATCCAAGTTTTGAGTATACACCCTATGCTCTAGCTTACTAATCCAGAGAGCTTGTTCACGCTATAAGCTCTCTTTGTTCCGATAGTACCTAATATAATGTTTTCTATGGCGTTAACTTACAACTTCTTAGAAATAAGCCATATTATCGTTGGAAACCATGGCCAATAATAAGTGAGAGCGCCCAAGATTTTGTGAAAAAGCTACTGGTTAAGGATCTTCTTGTAAGGCTGACAGCAGCTCAGGCTTTGTGTATGTATCACATTTTCATCCTTTTAGAGTTTTAAAATATGGAGTCCATCTAAGAGTTGATGGGGATTATGATTTATTTTTAAACAAACTATGAGGTTTTATTTCATACTTTTTATCTCTTAATTTGCCTTAAGTGTTTTAAGCATGATGTTGAGGATAGCGAGAGTGTTGTCTGGTTCTTGCAAGACCTTGCTAGGGAACATGATGTGGGTGAAAGCATGGTAAATTTTTTTGTACCTGAGTAATGAGTTTACACAACAAGTTTGGTGCATGAGTTTATACAACAAGTCTGAGAACCTATAGAGGAAGGTCTTGTACCGTAAGTCTTTACTTTCTTTATGCATGTAATTTTAATAGTATAATTGGGATAGTTCTCTTATGTCTAAAAACTATGTCATGCAGCTTGGAGATGACTCGCCATGTATCAATGATCTCAATTACTTTGTCACCTAATGATCTAAACCGGAACTCTCCTGGGTAAAGCATTTCACTTTTACAATTTGCATCTTCAACATGATAGAGGTATGCTATGGAGGAGAATGATATGCCATGTTGACTTCCAAGTTGTTTACCTTTTGGTGAGCAGGTATCAAGCACCAATATTTTTAGAACAGCCAAAGAAACAGTACAAAGTGCAGCATCCACAATACCAACAACAGCAGCAATATCAACCAAGGCAACCACTAAATCAGGTTGTTGAAGGTACTTTATATGCAAATTTGCAGCTCTTAATGATGGAAATATTCCCCAAAAGTAGCATGTATGCTACAAGTACTCGTTCATTAGTTTCTCTTGCTCTTTGATAAAGAAGGTGGATTATTTTTAATTTATGATATTATCATCGCATCATTTTCATTTATATATTATCACCGCACATACTAATAAAGTATTTTATTTTGTAGAAAATATGCGAGACGACATCGACGAATGGCAGATCGAAGCTATATGATCACTTCTTAGGATCTACTCCTTATGCTCGGATCTAGCATAAGTATTTGAGTGAAAACCCGGTATGATCATATTATTAAAACTGATATCATGTGATTAGTTTCCTAGCATAAGTATTTGAGTGAAAACCCGGTATGATCATATTATTAAAACTGATATCATGTGATTAGTTTCATATATTTACTTTGGAATTTAATATGCGGTATGATCATATTATTAAAACTGATATCATGTGATTAGTTTCATATATTTACTTTGGAATTTAATATGTCACGTGACGCTTTGATGCAGCCGCCATCGATGATAGGGATCACGACGATATGGACTACGACGACTACGGTGAATAGGGTAGCAAGTTAGACTTTTTTTGTTACTTTTGTTGACTTTTGGATTGTGTTGAACATATTATGACATTCGGATTATATATATGCGAATCGATGAATGATGAATATGATTATTGTTGGATGTGAATATTGTTGGATGTGAATTGATGAATGTGAATATTGTTGAATATATTATGAATATTGGTAGCAACAAGTATATATTTCTGGTTGGGGGGCTCAAAAAGCAGCAAATTTTTTTTGAATTACATTCATTAGCGACGGAAATGTCTCCATCGCCAATGCTCTGATTTCTACTAGTGAACCTACAACGATAAATTTAAATTTCCTCGTCTTTGAGTCCATTTACTGAGGAACTGTTTCCACGAGAAAAAGATACATATAATGAAGAAAATTAATTTCCTCATTAAAGATTTACCTTTGGTGAGGAACAGTTTCCTCGCTGAAAGATACTTACAACGACGAAAATAGTTTTTTAGAATTTTTATTATATATAAATTAAATATTATTCACGTATCATTGGCGAGGAAACTGTAGTTTAGCGACGAAAAAGGTATGAGATTAGGTGAGGAAAAATATCGAGGCTAAAGAGTAACAACGAGAAAAGAGTATATTCATCGCAAAAAGGATTTCGCGAGAAATTATAATATTCCTTGCAGAAACTTTTCTTGACCACCCTACCACGAGGAAATGATGACCAAAGTTTTTTCCTCGCCAACACACTATGGCGAGGAAATCTCGACTTTCAACGACAAACTTGTTCCTTGCAGATTAGATTTTCTGTTGTAGTTGACACTTTACCCGGATTTTACCCAAGGGTCTTGACCCGCTAGTGTTGAATCCATAGATAACAGTGCCCGTGGACGCCAACTTGCTAACTGGGATGCCGAGGAAATGCATCAAGCGAAGCGGCATAATACTCACAGCAGAACCCGGATCCACTTGGATTCGGTTGACTTTGCTGGAGCTTGGCTAGTTGAGCCATTATATCGAAGACTTGCGGAGTCTTCGAGCTTTCCGGTCTGTCTTTTCCAATCGGGCGACTGAAACGAGACTGCTTCGGATTCTGCACCTCTTGGGGATTCTTCTCTTTCGGTTTATTCACCGGCTGTCGTCGAGCCTCTTCGCCCGGTGTAGGACTTGTAATCACCCCCATCTCCGTGAGAGTTTTGGCTGGTCCCCGTTTATTCACCCCCTGCTCATTAGGTGGTGGATAATTGTAGTGATATTGATTTCCGCTTCTAGTGGCGAAGACTTCTTGTTCTTCTTCGGAGAGCGGGAAAGTAGGAGCTTCATCGCCATCCTCCTCGAAGATTGCGGATGTAGCATTGCAGGATTTACCTTTGCTTTTTCTTCTTGGGGAAGTCGCCCACGGCTCATCTTCAATGAGATCGGGATGAACCCAGAGGATTTCGCCGTTTGGGGCTGTGTGTGGCACAAGTCCTTTTTGGCACTGTCTATGTGGATCATCGTTCACTGTCTTCATCCTTACTTTGGTGATGCGCTCCGGTTTGAACCATGTTGTGGGCACCGATCCAAAGCTGATTGAGACCGCATTTGCTCCAACATTCTTGGACGGCTTCGGGGTTATGACACCTACATCAATTAGCGCCTGGATCTTGTCCTTGAGGTGGTAGCACGACTTGGTAGGGTGATGGACCACTCTATGGTATGCGCAATACTTCGGAACCGTCACTTTGTTAGCCCCTTCTTGATCCACAATCGTTGGCAGCTGGATTTTATTATTCTCTAACAGGTACTTAAAGATGCCGGGAACTTCGTCATCCTTGAAGGAGTACACTTTAGGAAACCTCGGCTCCGAAGATTTCTGCTTCTGAGGCCGTTATTGCCATTGTCCCCGAGGTTTTTGTGATGCTTGTTGCTGTTGCTGTTGCTGATGTTGCAATTGGAAAGTTTGATTAGCATCAATTGCATTAGCATGTGCCTTACCTTTCCCCCGTGGGACGAAATTCTGTTGCGGAGCATTATTCGCCTGTTGGCCTCTTTCCGCCTTCTTCCTTCTGAGGAATCGCTCAGCTTGCTCTCCTCGGACCTTCAGATCCTTCCATGTCTTGGACGGTGCTGTCCCCATTGCTTCCAACACGTCCAGTACAAGGTTGTTGTGGCAAGTCTGAAGGATGAATTCCTCGGTAATCGGGTCCCGGCAGTTCATCGCCTTGTTCCGGAACCTTTTGACGAAGGTGTCCACCAACTCCCCGTCTTTCTGCTTCTCGTCCAGCAATGACCCGATGGATATCTCTGTGTCGTCGTCGAAGAAATTAGCGAGGAATTTGGTCTCCATGTCGTCCCAGCTGTTCACGCTTCCTGGCTTGAGGCGGCGATACCAGTCGAAGGCGGCTCCACAAAGAGTGCTAACGAAGGACCGCACCATCAGAGGTTCATTACCAGAGATAACCCCCAAGTGTGATTTGAAGTAAATCAAATGTTGAGTGGGGGAACCCATCCCATTAAACGGCGTGAAGTTAATTAGGTTGAACTTTGCTGGATATGGAATCGATTCCCACTCTCTTGGGTATAGACAAGGAATGCTTGTTTTCTTCATCTCTTGAGCGGAAATCAATGTGTTGATTTTGCTCTCGAGGTTTTTAATCTTCAAGCTTTCACCTGAGTCTTCGTTGGCATTCTCGTTACCACTCCCTGTATTGACGGGAGGATTTGTGTCCTCATCTTCCAGATTAACCTGGTTGCGACGACTTGGCTCGCCTTGCTGGTCCGTCAATGCTTGGATTTGTTGGTCATGCATTTCTCTCATGTTTTGCATGGCCATTTGCATTTCGAACCTGAAGGTTTCCTGTTGCTTAGCTAAGGCGTCTTCAAGCATCTTGGCCACTTGCTCCGCACTTATCATAAGTGCTTCGCGGGGTTGTCCCTCGCTGGATACTGTATTATCTGATGCAACCGCAGAGCCGGCATCAGATTCTTCATCTTCTGAAGGGAGTCTTGTCCGAACTCTACCATAGGTTGCTCGCTTGATGGTTCTGGACTGCAGACGGGTTATAGGCCGGGATGCTTTCAGAATCGACTCGAGATTATCCCGTGCCGATGTCCCCTTGCTGGTCATATTGGTGCTGACCCTCGGAAATTCTCCATCTTCAACCATCGTTCTTCTTCGTCGGAAACGCCTAGGCCTTGGTTTTGGCGTTTCGGCACTAAGTCTTTCAAAAACCAAAACTCTTTCGGGGACCGCCTTGATGCAGTTGCATTCAGACAATACTGCCCGAATGAGTTTGGAACAGGGGCATTGAGTTTCCAGTCCTCGGGAACTCCTCTTCCTGGTTTTACTCGTACCCCCAACACGATAGTACAATTCGTCTGCTTGACCTATCGTGTGTTTGCACGACTTCTCAGGTATAACATTATCGTCATCAGATGATAATGTTTCCTTCTGAGGGTGAACTGCCTTCTTTGGGCTTTCAAAAGTTACGCGCCTCGAAACATGCCTTTTTGGGCGTGAGTTCTCAGCGGGCTCTTGGACTTCAATGCGCAAATTAGTGCGCGTAGCTGCCCTGATTTCTTTGTCATGTTGGGGGTGACGGCGACCCCAGCATGTTGAGTCGTCCGGGGCTTCTTCATTGGGCCCAAACGCTCTTGAACTGGAGCTTTGCCTCTCTCGTCGGGAATTGGACCGAGGCGCTCCAAAACTGGCTTCTTCCTTCGGGACGATTCTGCATGATCTCCCGGAGAAGCTATTGGAATTACCGGTGACTTGGGTTGATTCGCCGGTGGTTGAAATTTTGTTGGAGGCTGCTTCGGCCTCCATACATGGTGGGTTGGTAATGGCTTTTTGGCCACTCTTTCTTCCTCTAATTTCTTGGCCTCCTGCACAAGAATTTTTGCTTGTGCAAGTAACGCGCGGCGTTTGTGAATCCGCTCTTCAAGTGTCGAACGGTTCCGTTTGACCCGGATCCATTCGTTCGTTGACGGCTTGGAGGAGCTGCCATTCAACTGTTGTTGAGGCTATTTGCCTCCCCCGTTCTTCAGATCCGTGTTGTAGCGGACTCCGTCTGTAGACTCCATCGCCTTAGCGAATTGCCGCGCAAGGCGTTAACGTCGCCTCTGGCGGGCTCTCTTTGAGAGAGTCACAACGCCCTCAACAGTGGAGGCGTTGGCAAGAACAGGTTTGACCTCGTTGGAGGTCGGTGGAACTTCATCCGACGCAACTTTGGCGTCAGCCGGGGTGAGGGCTTCGTTGGCGTTCTGAACTTCTTCAAACCAACGAACTTTTCTCCTGGAGGAGAACTTCTTGGACTTGCGGGGAGAGGTAGATCCGGACGAGGATGATAGGTACTCCTCGAACTTGGCCTGATCAAATTCATATTTGACCTCCTCC